GCGAAAGTGCAAGATGCTTTTGCTCACAGTCGGCTGATTTTCCACTTCATGCACCTGCCTCCCTTTCCCCCCTTCCCCCCCTCCTCCCGCCCCATGGACTGTAGAGTGGCTTTTATCACTGAGACAGAACAGTTTCTCAGACATAATGCCATTCTTGTGAGGTGTGCCTTCACCCTTTGCTCCCCCGGTCGGCTGATCCTCCATTTCATGCACCCCCCTCCCCTCCCCCCTACCCCCTACCCCCCCATGCACTGTAGGGTGGCTTTTATGCCTGTGACAGATCAGTTTCTCAGACATAGTTCCATTCTTGTGAGGTGTTCAAGACGACAGTCTGCTGCAAAGGCAAGGTTGTTGCCTTCCTCCTTCCCATTTTTTTCTTAACTTATCCCCACAATTATATCCCCAACTCCGGGCGAAATTGACCACTTTTCTCAGAATTATATCCCCATCTCCGGGCGAAATGGTGATCTGCTTACAGGGAGGGTTCGCCTTCCTCCTTCCCGTTTTTTTTTCTTAACTTATAATAACTAAGCCGTTTCCTTCATACATTTTGCCAGGGCTCCGCCGCCGCATTTTTTAAGATAAAACTTGCGAAAGTCGCACCACCACTTCTTAAAGGATGGCTGAGGTCCATTTCGCATGCTCCAACGTGGTGGCATTGACGTCCTTTTGACCAAGACCCAAATGCTGTGAGAAAGGAATTGGCAAAGGGGGGGAGGAGGGGGCGGGGAAGGCACGTCATTAAACTAGGTACGTTTTCTGTTGCCCTGCTCTGCGCTCAGCCACAAATCCTTTCTTTCCCCGAAAGTAACAGCCGACGCACTCACTGTTCATCGGGAAAGTCAATTTTTGACCGTGGAGGGAGCCCCCCCCCTACCTAAGTTACCACAGTCAAGTTAATTTTTGCCTGTGGAGCCCCACCTAACTTACCACAACCCTTACACTCAGTTTGTTCTTACGCGAGATGGCGTTCTGCTTACTACAGAGGTCAGCTTCCCAACGGCACACAGAGTTAAAAAGGTTATATGGATCAACAAGACAAATAACCTTTATATTAAAAAAAAGAAAAAAAGACATGTCAGATCTTTTCAGCCCCTTCATGCCGGTATCTGGTACTTCATCCTTCCTACCTTCTTCACCCAAATTCAACATACGGTAATTATAGCTGATGTATTTGGACTACCTTGCAGTCTCAATACAGCAACAATGATCACACATTGTGCTCGGGTGCGAAAGGAAGATAAAGTCTAATGGGGAGTGCAACAGCCTACCAACATACGAATTTTGCTCATACTCATGACTAGGTTCATACTTTTTTCGCACGTACATACCACCAGTGCCACCTGAACCATAATCTTCGGGACATGTGTGATCAGCTCCTTGCTTTCCGTATAGCCAGTGTATGACATGTATGAGGCAAGCCCCAATTTGAGAGATTGAAGCAGATCTCTTCCTCGGAAGGATCTCAAAATCAATATTTTTTAGGCAAGCCCCAATTTGACAGAATGACATGTTTGAGGCAAGCCCCATTTGACAGATTAAAGCAGATCTCTCTTCCTCAGAAGAATCCAAAATCATTCTGATGACATCAGACAGACTGTAACACAAAAAATTGCAAGGACGCTTTTTTTCTTGACGTATTATTGTGAGGCCTGCCAATCCGCCCCAAAATATTTGTAGTTCTAAGTACATTTCTCCTTATCCTTGAAATGCTTTTTTTAAGTTTTTTTCTTCTCCTTTCCTTGAAATGTTTCTTTCTTTCGCTTCGTGCACTCTGCCACCAATATCGCAAAAAGGTGTACCTTCCCCCCCCCCCCCCCCCCCCCCCAAAAAAAAAAAGTGTGCCTCCCCCCAGGCTGCCGGTCTCCGACAGCGAAATCGCAGATAAAACAGAGAACTGCAAAACCGCAGATAAAACAATTTAGGGGGAAAAAAAACAAAACAAAGAAGAGTTTTTTCCATGGTAGCGCCGGACCCGGACTCCGGACCTACCGGACCGTCTGGCCGGACGCAAGTCCGCACCTCTCCGGACCGTCCGGACTGGGGTGCCGGTGCCCAGTCATGTCCGGGAAAAAAAAAAAAAAAAAAAAAAAAAATGAACTTCTTTTTTTTTCCCTCAAAATTTAAATTCGATTTCATTTCACAAACGAGCTGAAGGCCGGGGACCTCCACATTACACCCGGAGCTGGAAGCATTATCCAGTTTTGCTTACAGGCTGAAACAGTGAAAAGCCTATGGGACTTTTCCATAGCCCCACGCAGCTCTGAGGCTGCTGGCTCTACACTAGGACTATCCCTCCTATCTACCCGGTCCCAAACTACTACAGTACAGGCGTCCCCTACTCATACAGAGTCCTAAAGCGGTCCTGTGGATCAAGTCCAGGGGACTACATCTACCTACGTACTAGTGCTGCCAGATCTATAAAATGGGAGTTTGTGCACAGCGAAAAACACAGACTCCCGGAGTTTGAATGTTTGAGCAACAGCAGAAAACTACTCAGGGGGTTTTGAATTTGCAGTTTGAAAGTTCGAAGTTTGAACGGTTCAAAATTGAAACCACAAAATGGGTGTTTGTGCACAGCCAAAAACACGAGCTCCACGGACTGTGGTTCCTCAGAAATCGAAGCAGTAACGAATCTGCCCGCCTTACTGCTTCAGTCCTGGTCCGGCCCTGTCTGGAAAGTGCGAATGGGGCCTAAAATTCACGGAACTATTTTTTAGGGCCTCCCTGGGTGCCAAGCGACACTTCCAGGCTGCGCTTCTTTTTTTTTTTTTTTTGGCCAAGGGGGGCGCAATCCGGACCGTCTGGACCGGACACCGGACCCAGACCGTCTGCAAAGCGGTCCGGACGTCGGGATCGCTACCATGGTTTTTTCTTTTTTGTTATTTTTTCCTCTTTCTCTGGATTGCAATTTCCGGTCATACTTAGAAAACCGTTCACCTTTATTTTGTCAGGATTGAAATTACACCACCAGTACTGGGCCCAGCTATCGGCCGCGGAAAAAAATAGGGTAGAAACATTTATAGTCCGATGAATTTGGGCACTTCTGCAGTGGCTCGGACATTTCCTAAAGTCGCGGCTTGTTTACAGGCACAACTTTAGGAAGTACTGGGGGTTCAAACCACCAGACTCACGAGTACACCCAGGCCTGCAGGTGCCTTACTGCGTGCCAAGCTTTCCCAGACCGCCAGCAGCGCACTTTTTTTTCCCGTTTTTGGCTGGCGCAGTCAGACATTGTGGTCAGGTAGGCCGAGCCTCCAAAATTTTTGCAGGTGACGAGTTTCTTTTTCAGCAAGGCTGGGGCCGTGTACTGGCGGTTTAAGCCACAAGGCACCTAACAATAGGCAACAAACGGAAAGAAGGAGAGAAGGCAGCTGCAAAGCCATTATTAACATCAATCGAGCGCAGGCTGAAGTTGCGCTTTCTCAAATTTTCAGATTTTTCTACGAATTCCTCCCAGTACAAAAGATCACCAAAGTAGCCTCTTGCAAAACGTCTGTTTCATTGCACCTTCCCGCATCTTCCCAGCTTTGGCCTCTCTGTTTTGAGAAGACGGGCCTCGAAGACAGGCCTCAAGCCTCAGCCTGACGGCCCTTCTGCAGTTCACATGCGAGGGAGGACCGGTCCTCCAATTTTGCTACCGCGCCAGTTCGACACGCGATAGCTGTACGCAGTCCGTGAAATCACGGTGGACGGGTCCCCCAACAACTTTCACCCCCCGTTAGAACCCACTTGTGCGCCAGTCCCCCGCCGCTGAAAATGTGTGACCTTGGCGCGGACGCCGAAGCCTACTACGCTGCCGCCTTACGGCTGCGAACAGGAAGTGCAGCATCTATGAATGTGGTGCTCTTACAGCATTCTTTGTTTCTCTACAGCTGCCTGTTAACGGCATAAGCCCCTAGCGTGAACTTCATCTGCAAACTTCGATACTCGTAGGTAGGTGACTTTTCCTCACCGCCCTCTGGACCACATTCGTAAACTGTCAATTTCCTCACCGCCCTCTGTAAACTGTAAACAGCCAGCCGAGAAATGACTTTCAGGGTCCATGAAGAAGCAGTACAGGCTGCAGATATCAGAAATCAGAATTATCTCTAACCATTGTCGTTTAGCCTATATAAGATGGATGGCAACAACAAAGGAAAAAATGTCTGTACATCGAGAGAATCTGAGACCAAATACTCACAATGCGGGATAATGAACCAATACCACACCAAGTCCTTCCAACTCCCTCCCTACACGAAGAGAGAGATAAAGGATTTAACCAACTGACCTCTCACCATCCAATCACTTCAAAGTTCCCCCCACATGCTCTCTCTCTCTCTCTCTCTCTCTCTCTCTCTCTCTCTCTCTCTCTCTCTGTGTGTGTGTGTGTGCACGTGCATGAGCATAAGCGAGAGAGAGAGAGAGAGAGAGAGAGAGAGAGAGAGAGAGAGAAAGC